TCCTCTTCCCACTCTCTCCGTAGCCACTTGAAGCTGGTATCAAGCACAGAGCACGCATTCCGTAGCTCTAGCGATGATTATTTTTATTATTGAGTACAAAATCCATAGAAGGTATTCATTCAACGCAGAAGGTAAACGGTCACCCTAGTATTGCCTGCTTGCTAGGGAAGAGGCAAGGGATGTCCTAAAGGAGTCCAAACGCCTGGCGCCACCCCACCCGCTAACCAGACGTTACACGTTTTCGACAGTATATCCTCCAGTCATTTAACAAATAGGCACGTATGTACACCGTAGGCTTAGGTTAAAAAAAATCGAGGTTGTCTCCTCTAGTTGCGTTGTGTTTTGTGCCTCTTCGGTCACGCATAACGGTCTTGACTGTAGAAGAGTTCTCGTGATCAAGGGATTAACCAAGCTTTCAAGGCAGAACAGCTGGGAATGCTCCACTGCGCGAGAGACCGGACATCTACAGCCACGAATCTCTCTGATCCTTGTGTATTCCTTCCGGAGCACAACAATATCAGGCCTGTCAGCAATGAGGGCCCTGGCTGCTGCTAACACTGAGCAGAGACGGCTTCTGCTTCTGTTCCAGGAACTTCTACTTTCTCCCATCGAATATGCTCTTGCCATCCTCACTGTCAGCCATACTCAGATTGAAAGACTTGAGAAGGTACAAAATAAAGCAATGCACATTATTCAAAGATGCACTGGAGACGACTCTACTGTAGCAATGAGGCACTTTCTTGACTTCCCTACCATGAACTACAGGATCAAGATCTAGAGGGCTCGTGCATACCTCAAGATAAGCTCAGATCTGAAGCACATTTTGCACCATTTGCTTTTGAAGAAAAAAGGGCCATAGGCTTAAAAGGGGCAAATCATGGCGGGGTATGGCAGAGGATGATATGCAGGCTTGCAGCCTTACAGACATCCATCCAGGTGAGGAGTGGATACCAGAGTCTAAAGCGCCCAAGAAAGGAGTTGTCGGGAGCAGAATCCAGCTGCTGTCAATGCCGAGGTATGCGCGCTTATCAGTGACAAGTCAGATGAGACAGATGTGGTGATCTTCACAGACGGGTCCGTTATACGAGGACATAAGAGTGCATGGGCATTTACAGCTCGCTCTTCAGGCAAAACAGTTAAAAAGCCAGCGGTGCCTTTTTCATAACCAACAGCATCACGACGATGGAGGTGATGGCGGTGACACAGGCTTTCATGTGGCTGGGATCACATGACTATTCCCGCGTGTGTGTGCTGAGTGATTCTTTGAGCATGATCCGGCGGGTCGAGGCAGACTGTTTACGCAGACAGTGGCTTGAGTCGTTGCAAAATTCTCCTGTGTGTGCAGTTACTTTTATATTCGGCCCAGGAAATGCAGGCGTTGTTGGCAATGAGAGAGCTGGTAGACTGGCAGGTGCTGCATTAATTGAAGATGGCCGGCCCATGGATCACGCAGACATTGTCATTGCCATTAGAGAGATAGGACGTTCTGAGGACTTTGGAAGCAACATGTCCACATCACTGCTAAGAATACTCGAATTGGGAGTAAAGATCGGCACAGCCAAGCATGAGAAGCACACTGGACGCACACGAAGTCTTGTTAACCAACACAGGACTTGTACTATTAACCGCAGGACACTGATGAATATGTTGAGAGGGGAATCTGAGCGCCTATGGATGTGTCCGGAGTGCTGTGAAGATAATCTAACTCATAACAATATCAGGGCCATATTTTCTTATAATTTATCCATGCTGCTAAGGGCGCTAAGGACTATGGTGTATGGCCAGTTGCAAAATATCAAACAATCAATAATTACACCTTATCTAACACAAACATTAACTTCCCTGTGGCATTCAGCGGTGGAACACATTGCCGGCATGTGTTTGAGCTGATAAGAGATTTGATTTTAGCGATTAAAACCAATACAATACGCACAATTATCGACTTGAGAAATTCATGGTTGCTACCGACTCCATACCGGAAGCGGACTTTTGAATGTTGAATCCTACATGATGATGATGATGATGTATGGTCAAGCTCGACACCTTTGATCTCTCTTGTCAACGATTGTTGTATGGTTTCTCTTGGACATCCTCGACTCCTCAGTCGAGCTGTTTTCCCATTTCAGGACTATTTCTGTCATTCTGTGTCTGCTTTATCTTCACTCTTTTTTTTTTTTTTTTTGGTCACTGCTATATGTCGCTAGGTATGGCTGTTCAACAATTAAGTAGCCGAGTTAAGACGGCTTTGATGTTGCCAAGTCCTATGTTTTCGGTTACTTTTTCAATCCATCTTCTTCTAAATCCTTCTCTCTCTCTCTCTCTCTCTCTCTCTCTCTCTCTCTCTCTCTCTCTCTCTCTCTCTCTCTCTCTCTCTCTCTCTCTCTCTCTCTCTCTCTCTCTATATATATATATATATATATATATATATATCTTTGTCTCACTTACTCGCTCTCTGCCTCTTTGTGTTTTCATATTCGGGTTGAACCGTACCCTCTCGCTGCTGACATCGTTGAATCATTCTTATTATGAGGGAGAACCACTTTATCTTTGATGAGTGGTCTCGAGGTATAATATCCGCCTCGAGTGCTGGAGGTCCCGGGTTCAAGCCCCAGTGAAGGTTGGGATTTTTTTCATGTGGACTTTCCCATGGTCTCTGGGTAGTGAAACTGGACGCCTGTGTGTATTGTTGCCGAAGTAAAAAATACCTTGGCAGTTGCTGCCCATGCAACATTTAGAGTAAAAAATATACCCAAAGTATTTCAGGGTCCTTGCCGGTGCAACAGAGCTCGTGCACTGCGCTGAGATTCTGCACTCAGGCTTGAGTTGGAAGTAGAATGGAGCACATTACTACCCGTGTGCCATGATGTTGCTCCACTGAATAATAATTGAAAAAAAAATTTATTTGCTTTTAACCAGCCAAGAATTCGTGCAAATCAGAAACTAATAACAATTCACAGATGATGGGATTGATCTGTTTTCATGCAAACCAATCGATTGTTTCCTTCAGTACCAGACGACTCATCATACGTTCCTCAGTCGCCCTATACGATGTATATATTTAAGATCTTACTCTCTCCCATTCTTCTTTTACTTGATTCGATTCTATTATAATTAATTTGTTGTGTTGATCGAATAAAGTTTGTAAAGCAGCGACTATTTCTCGTTGTGTCCCTTTATTGAATCGGCAACGTTGATCAACTTGTTGATCAGAGTTTCATATGAAATAAATCTGAAGAAATCTGTAATCTGCGTCGGGCAGTGGTAGTAGTGAGTTGGCTTCAGCAGTGCGCACACGAACAAAAATGAAAATATGAGCAGAAGATAACATTCTATTTCGACTCAAGAGGAAATGCATAGAAACTGCGCAGCAAATATTCTGAAAAGCCCGTAAACGACATGAATAGGTAGGTGTCCAGTGCCCAGCTTAAATAAATGAAAATATGAGCATGAGATAACATTTTATTTCAGCTCAAGAGGAAATGCATAGAAACTGTGCAGTAAATATTAAGAAAAGTTGGTAAACAAAAAGAATAGGTGTCCAGTGTAGCAGTAAGATTTGTGGTGTATACGTCTGGCGACTGAAATAATCGACTTGACTACAGACTACCTGCAGTTGACCTGCGATGGAATTTCATGTAAATGTATATAATTCATTTGAATAATAGGAGAAAGCCAACCGAGATTGTGCAGACATTGTTGTACACTCTGGATTCACCCCTTCTGTAGACTATGAGTGTACAGAGCAATTATTTATGTTAGTCGATATAACATGCATGTTTACGCACTGATACTCCTTAGTATCAACAACCAAGTATTTAGGCCTAGGGTGACTACTCTAATATTCCGCTAGATATCTCCTTGATGGATGTGCTACAGTGGAGTCCTGCAGACTATAATAACTGGCAAACTTGGCACAACATCAGCTAATACAGTTGTTACTATCTTTACGAGTCAACAATAATGCTTGTGACAGGCCACATAACTTTAATGTAATTCACATTATACGGCACAAGATGATGCTGATTATTCATTAACATTTGTACAATAATAAATCTCTATTATCTACACGGATGATATAAAAGATTACAATCTTTTCTCAATGGACTCCTGCCATTATAATAAACTAAACAGACATTAAACTGTCTCCCGCAAACAACGGTAAATCAAAACCTCACAAAGAGAAACGTTTCTATAATGGAAACTTCTCAACTCTTCCACGCCCAGAATTCAATTGTGTCATATAATTACCATCGCCTAGGTAACGACTAGTGGCCGTTGTGTGAACCTTCCCCTGTGCTGTTCCCACTAAAAGAAACTTCAACTCTCGACCAAAAAGATTACAACAGACATGAAACTGCAGCAGTTCTGTATAATAATAATAATAATAGTAACATGCAAATTTATATAATTTTTATGAATAACATATGTAGACATGTAAACTGTAGCAGAATAATAATAAATAACAATCAAAATAGTACGCTAAACTGTATGAGAAAGCCAACAGATAATGTGTATACGTTAATCATTGCGTGATTTAAGGAGTGGTCCACACATGTTTAAAGTTAAAAAAAAATGTACATACTGACTAATGATAGTGAAGTAAATGCGCTTACCTTTTGAGACATATCTAGATTCCGCAGAAAATTGTTGTCCTAGGAATAACTTCGTCGCGGGCGGATGTTAAAAATGGAGCATCCCGTGTCTACTGCGCATGCACTGTGAAAATCGATCGCCCATGCGGATTTATTAACGTGGCTATAATTAAATTTCACTAAAAATGGAAATATTAATTTCGAAGATTTTCCCAACAAATGTCGTCACCCCTCTCTAACAATGACAGGTAGATTTTCAAACCATGACGGGTAGAATTCCGGTATTAAAACAAACATGTCCTGAAAATTTCAGCTAAATATGTTCAGTAGTTTTGGAGTCTATAGCTCATAAACACACAAACATTGATATATATATATTCTTATTCATCGTGTTTTTTATTGTTTCAGTGGAAAGGGTAAAAACTGTGAACGCTGCCACTGATTCTCAGAGCATGCCCGAGTATGACATGGTAACGAATGGTACAACCCTTATCACAAGTTGGAAATCAGCCACGCTCTTGATACAGGAAATAACTGAACTGGTGAAGGCTCAGTTGGAGTTAAACAAGAAGGCGAAGCCATTTTCTGTGAAACCACAGTGTGTGCTTAACTCAACATCGAGTAAGTTTATAAAGTAAGTAAATGACCCTTTCCTACGCCTTTTAGTCCATTGGACATAGATCACCAGATCTACATTTTATAGACCAATCGACACTCGGAGGATGATGTGGTCAGCATTACACCAGCCGACTTGACTTCCCAGGATTTTACCTGTTACCCATTTAAGACTTACATAACACCAAATTTGTCGTTTCTTCTTAAACTAATCAGCTTTTTTATGGAGCATGAGACCATAATGAGTAAGTAAGAATAAACTCCACAGGGGAGCATGTATAGCAGGAGTCTACTTATCGTCAGTAGAAGTAATATCTCGTCGACAAATGTTTCGGCCCACGAGCTCCTAGACATTTTCAGAGAGTGTTATCTGTGGTGTCTCTGATTTGTGAGACGTACTTAGAGTACAAGGGTGGGTCTTCAAAATAAAAAGGCAACTTTATTTTTGGGTCGGAAGTGGAAGATTTTATTTTGTCCATTCGGTAACAAGGAAGCCACCATAAGTTTGTTAAGTTTTAGCTGAGATCATCTGTTCTTATGAACATATGTTTGCCCATCAAATAGTTACCGCAGGATAGTCTGCCCCTAGTGTAACTTATGTTCCACAGACTTTAGTTTTAGTAATTTCTTCAGACTATTGCTTATATTATTTGATGCAACCATATCTTAGAGCAGAGCTAATCAAGCTTGAGACATGCGTTTGGAGTTTTCTTTAAATATTTCATTATTCTGTTTTTCTCGTTCATTTTGTGTTATATCTGCCGTATCTCAAACATGTACTTTTTTCTGAAGCTTACAAACACAGATACTGACATACACGTACAAACACAAGGATGTTTTCTTTAAAGTACAACAAGAAGGTCGAAGAGTCCTCTTTGAAATGGTACCAACAAATTTACTTAATTTTTAGCTGCTGTCTGAGAAGAAAGCTTTTTTCTAGAACCCCCAGTGACTGTATCTGCTATGAAAACACATTCACATATTTACCAGAAGATAAAATAAAAGGACAGGTATAAAGAGAAACATTATCTAATGTGTCATTTTATCTCTGAATCAACTTCAGAATCCGTCTGTGTTCACCCAAACTGCACACAGCTGAGCAACAACATCACGGAAAGAGTCCAAAGTTTGATCTCTGATAAAACGGTCTTGACCGAAGAGCAAGATGACCTACTCAAATCCATCTCGCTGCAAATTCCCAAAAACGACGTCATTATTTCATCTGCTGCCTCAAGTAACCATTACGATGAGTTGCAGGCCATGCTGCACTCTCTCCATAGCGTGGTCTTTCCAGAACTGTCAAAGACTGAAAACTTCTCGCTGGTTCTGTGGGATATTGGGCTAACTTCTGATGAACGCCAAAAGGTTAGTTGTTTCTGACGACGAAATAAGTAAGGTAATGTAGGATCATTGGTCTCCCAATTCTAAGTATATTAGGAATGTTCAAATAAAAAAAAAAAAAAAATATTAATTAAAAAAAAAAAAAAAAAAAAAAAATAAATAAAATAAACAAATTACAAAATTGAAAAAAAAAAAAGAAAAATCAAGCGGTCTCATTGCAATCTCCAGTTGAGACATATTTCTTTCATTTATTTGTGACTACAGAAAAACTATGACTTGATTAAACATTTACCTTTTATTTCCTTGTAGCCCCTATTCAGAGCATAAATTTCAAAATGGACGCTAGGCACGGCCCCTGTTTCGAGTCGTGGCAAAGTTTTTGCTTCTGCCAGACGGTGGCCGTTGCATTTTTGCTCCATTTGTAGACTGAAAGGATATAGTTTCTTTGCTAAACTACTGAGCTGAGTGCATGGTGCCACCTTGCGAGCTGTGGATTTCATTTGGAATGTTTTTCAACTGTGACCAACGTGGCGTTGTGTTGTGAATTGAAGATTCAGAAAATGGCGCGTTTCCTGTCGTCGCAATATTGGTGGTGCCCTTATGTGATTAAAATTGATCGCGTGTGCAGCTGCTGATTTGTTGGTTACCTCTGCTACCGTTGATGATGAACTGCATTTCTAATGTCAGACTGTTTGTGTTAGCACTTCTGATGGCTACCATATGCTTTTAATACGTGTGTATGCTAGTGCATATGCCGAGACAGCAGTCTGTCAATCTTTCCACAAGGACTGTGATGCACATTCTGTGTGCTGGCACAGGAGCGGAGCCCTTATGGGATGACCCGTTCGCTATGAATCTGAATCTAACATAACATAACTTAAAATAACACAACATAATATAACATAACATAACACAACAGAGTATGCACAGCATGAAACTGAGCTGACCATCGCGTGTCAGACAAAAGCTTTACAACGTCATCATTTCCTAAAGAAATGCATTCGTGATATGCCCGGAATTGTGGTTGGTGGGCACAATATAAACAATTTATGTTATGCTGATGACATAGTCTTGATAGCAACAAGTCAGAAAGAACTACAGGAAATAATAGACATTGTGGTGTTAGAAAGTGGAAGAATGGGCCTCAATTTGAATAATGAGAAATCAGAAGTAATGGTGTTTTAAAAAAAAAACGAACTATTCCTAAATGCGTAATAAAACTCGACGGTGTTATTTTGGGACAAGTACAGAAATTTAAGTATCTGGGCACATGGATAACATCAGATGGTAGATGCATAAGTGAGATAAGAAATAGAATAGGACAGGCAAAAACTGCATTTTATAAAATGAAAAATATCTTATGCAATATGTCTTTGTCATTGAGAGTATGAAAAAGAATTCTGGCTTTTTACATACATCAGGTTTTAACATATGTTTGTGAATCCTGGACAATCGGTAGGCAGGCCAAACAATTTCTTAAGACCTCAGAGATGTGGTTTGACAGAAGAATGCTTAGAATACATTGGACAGCCAAAAAGAGCAACAAAGAGGTTTTGAAAGAGGCTGGAGCCGACAGACAACTCATCACAGACATCAGAAGGAGACAGTCATCATTTTCGGCCATGTTATGAGAAGAGGGAAGTATAACATGTTGTGACCACTGAAAAGGTTTGTGGAAGGAGGGATAGAGAAAGGCAACGAGAGAAGATTCTTGACAGTCTTGTTGCATGGCATGGAGGTGGGTCGGCACACGAACTGTTTGATCTGTTTGTGAGATCGCAGAATATGGAGAGGCATGATCGCCCACGCCAGTCGGCAAGGGACCTGATGATGATGAGAGTTAATTTAAACGTCAAATATAATTGATTTATGTGGCTCTTATGCCCCACCCCACCATCTTTTCATAACACGTGATGCAAAATGCGTTGTAATGATTTAAAAAAAGAATCGGGCATTTTTCTACTTGTCCAGTTAGAGTGCCATGCTGTGCAATATGAAGGAATAGAAAATTATAATCCATGGCGATGGCGAGTGTGCACACAAAGACCAATTATAAAATACCTTCTGTAATAAGTGTGTGAGATTTCAGTGGCAGTTGTCATTCCATTTTGATATTTTCTTCTTCGATGGTCAGCTTTTAATTTGATCTTATTCGCTTGCTGATTTTTGCCTCCACCCCCACCCCCCTTCATGTAACAGGATCCATGACATCTTCCTTTATTTATTTCTATCAATACCTGTATCACCAGTGTCCCATATCGTTACAGTGTAGTGTTGGCGGGCCTAATACTTTCCGCTCATCTGTAATTCACAGCAGAGGTGGCGTTTTTGGAAGTCATACTGGCCAATAAAATAGCTAATTACCCCCCCCCCCCCCTCCCCAAGTGCTATCATTATATTTAGAAGTAAAGTAGTAAAGATCCCCTTCTCACGCCTTAGGCGCATTAGGCATATGTAAAGAGCACCCACATTTTAACAGACCAATCGGCACTAGGCGGGTAATGTGGTCAGCATTACGCTTGCCGTCTTCACTTCCCCAGGAAATACATTCTAGTACAATGATAAAAATCCACACAGCCAATAGTGGGTTTCGATCACGGTACGTTGGAATTACGAGTCGGACTCACAATGCCTAAGCCGCAAACGCCGCATCATTGTATTTGGAATTTGTACTTAAATTGAAGGGACTTTGGCATCTGACCCACATCACACTCAGAGGAAAAGATAGGACGAAAGTTGTTCGTGGGGTGTCATAAGGATGAGCACAATACAATTAGACTCACAAAAGGTGTGTACATAGTAATTACGCAGCAGTAAAATGTAGCTAGCTAAATGTACCATATTTGCGGTCTTTTAAATAAATTACGGTAGGAGTGTGTTGCATGAAGTTTTCAAAATCAACCTGAATAACATTGTGATACTAAATTTATTCAGACACAAAGAGATGTATACACGTTACATATGATGTACGAAGTTACTATAGGTGCTCAAAGTAATTACAATTACCCTCTAAACACATTTCAGAATCGCATACAACACACAGCTACAGTAATTCGATTTAAATGTGGCTCGTAAAGATAGCGTTTTCAAACAAGTAGCTTATATGAAGCCTTACAAGTCTATGGTCTGCACCAACAATGAGATAAAAATTATAATTTTGAGAGCATGCATCAAAGCCTCTCAAAGTCCAACACCACGTCCTCGTCGTGATAGGTGGTAACAGAACAAAGTAGGGGATTGCTAGGTGTGGGCGAAGTATGGTGTGGCCTCGTGTCACGGGACCGCTACGGTAGCCATGAAGGCCACCCTGGTTCATCCCGAAACGTCCTGGCCAACGGGGCTCTGGTGAAGTTACGACAGGCCTAGCAAGCCGGCAATGGATTTATTATCGCTACAGAAAACACAATGCGATATAATCGGACTGATCAAACGGTATCTGACCATGGCTATGTTAAGGGACCCTCGACACCCACAGCGGTAAAAGAGGAAGTAAAGAAGAAGATGCATCTTCCCTGTAGCAACCTACTAATGTGAGTCGTGGACTATCTCCTTAAGTAGGAGAATGGGGGCTTTTGAGCTGAAATGCTGCAAAAAGATTCTCAGAATCTCTTGGACAAAGAAAAGGAGAAATACTGATATCTTTAGGATCTGAACATCAAGGAAGATAGGGTATTTAACAGCATCCTGTCTCGGAAGCTGAAATATTTTGGTCATATCTAGCGCCATGGCGGATTGGAAAAAAAATATAGCAGAAGGCATGGTACCAGGAAGGAGGGGCAGGGGCCGACCGACACGAAAATGAGCACAGGATATAAGTGACTCCTTGAGTATGAAAGTGCATGAGGCGGGAGAACTGGCGAGAGATTGAGGTTCATTCAGGCAGACTATGATGAGAGCGACCTTCTGCAAAGGACCTGCTACATGATGATAATGATGAGTCTCTATGAAAATGTTCATGCATTTCGCAGATGGGCGATAACCTTTTTTATTTGACCAACTCTTTATTCATTATACTTCATCTGAAATTGTGTGTTGTATAATGGTTAGGTAATTTTCTCAACATTTCTCACAGGTAGAAAAATGTTGTCGCTGTCAAGTGATTTCTTTTCCCTTCGAGAAGTTCCCACAACGCACCAGGGATTTATTTACCTATATGTGGAAACCATTAGTTATCCGGGTAAGTATTGTTCCCAGTAATACCAGTATCTCTTTTTTTAAAGATTTCAAAGGGGAACTAAACACATATCCCAAGTCATGTCAATTTCTGTGAAGAAAAGACCATCGGTGTGTTAGAAGACAATGGGTCTGCATCATATACCTGATGATTCAATGGAGGGACATGGTTCTTTTCTTCTACAATGAGGGCTACTGTTGCGGCTGCTACAATTAGGGCTGCTGCTACTACTGCGACTGCTGCTGCTGCTACTATGGCTACGACTGCTTCACTGCTGCTACAACTACTGCTTCAACTACTGCTACTGCTGCTGCTACAACTACTGCTGCTACAACTACCGACACTGCTGTTGTATACTGCTACTCCTACTGCTACTAATTTTGCGGCTAATACTAGCAGCACTACTTATATCTAGTTATAATAAAGGAAACCCCACAAGAAATCATTTACTCCACAATCAAATAATGTCAATTACATGATCAAGGGACAAAACCAAAGATTAAATGGTTCATTATATAAAAAAAAAAACATCGAATCTTGTAATGATCACATTGGGATTCAACCATGTCAGAACAACATAACGAAATCGGTTGCGGTGGTCATAATCATTCAACTATAGGATTGCTGTTCGTAGGATTATTACTTCATCATCATCATCACAAAGTATGCTCAAGATTAACTTCATCAAGATAAATTATGCTTACCAAATGCGTCACCATCACAAAGTATCCTCACCACTAGCTTCAACATAACACAGTAGTTACACCACTCTCTGACAGAGTATCTAAACCACTAGATTTTGCTAACAAAATATCCTCACCCCAAGCTTCACCATAAGAAAGTATCTCACCACTTGCTTCACCATAACAAAGTATCTTCACCACTAGCTTCACTATTACAAAGTACCCACACGACTAGCTTCACCAAGGCAAAATATCCTCACCATTAGCTTCACTATAACAAAGTATCTTCACCACTAGCTTCACTATAACAAAGTATCCCACCACTAGCTTCACTATAACAAAGTATCCCCGTCACTAGCTTCACTATAACAAAGTATCTCACCACTAGCCTCATAACCACAAAATATCTTCACCACTAGCTTCACTATAACAAAGTATACCCATCACTAGCTTCACTATAACAAAGTATCCCACCACTAGCTTCACTATAACAAAGTATCCCCGTCACTAGCTTCACTATAACAAAGTATCTCACCACTAGCTTCACTATTACAAAGTATACCCATCACTAGCTTCACTATAACAAAGTATCTCACCACTAGCTTCACTATAACAAAGTATCCCACCACTAGCTTCACTATAACAAAGTATCCCCGTCACTAGCTTCACTATAACAAAGTATCCCACCACTAGCTTCACTATTACAAAGTATACCCATCACTAGCTTCACTATAACAAAGTATCTCACCACTAGCTTCATAACCACAAAATATCTTCACCACTAGCTTCACTATAACAAAGTATCTCACCACTAGCTTCACTATAACAAAGTATCTCACCACTAGCTTCACTATAACAAAGTATCTCACCACTAGCTTCACTATAACAAAGTATCTCACCACTAGCTTCACTATAACAAAGTATCTCACCACTAGCTTCACTATAACAAAGTATCTCACCACTAGCTTCACTATAACAAAGTATCTCACCACTAGCTTCACTATAACAAAGTATCTCACCACTAGCTTCACTATAACAAAGTATCTCACCACTAGCTTCACTATAACAAAGTATCTCACCACTAGCTTCACTATAACAAAGTATCTCACCACTAGCTTCACTATAACAAAGTATCTCACCACTAGCTTCACTATAACAAAGTATCTCACCACTAGCTTCATAACCACAAAATATCTTCACCACTAGCTTCACTATAACAAAGTATCTCACCACTAGCTTCACTATAACAAAGTATCCCACCACTAGCTTCACTATAACAAAGTATCCCCGTCACTAGCTTCACTATAACAAAGTATCCCACCACTAGCTTCACTATTACAAAGTATACCCATCACTAGCTTCACTATAACAAAGTATCTCACCACTAGCTTCATAACCACAAAATATCTTCACCACTAGCTTCACTATAACAAAGTATCTCACCACTAATTTCACCAAGGCAAAATATCCTCACAACTAGCTTCACCCATAAGTGCTCCGTTCTACATCTAACTCAAGCCTGAGTCTGGAGAATCTCAGGGCAGTGCAAGAACTCTGTTGCACAGGCGAGGATCCTGAAATACCGTGGGTAGATTTTTAATCCCAATTTTTGACCGGGCAACCCCGTTGTGGTACTCATTTTCGATTTCCAACTGCCAAGGTATTTTTTTTTTACGTGCGCAGCAATGCAGACGGAAGTCCGGTCTTACTACTGAAAGACCAGGGCAAATTACTAGAGACCACGTAAAAAAAAAAACAATTGAGTGATTGCAAAACTCTCCTGCGTGTGCAGTTACCTTCATAGTTGTCTCATAATATTCAGGTGTTGTTGGTAATAAAAGAGCCGATAGACTGACAGCTGCCGCAATAATTAAAGATGGCCGGCCCATGGATCACGCAGACACTGTCAATGTCCTTAGAGAATAGAAAGTTCCGGGGATTTTGAAAGCAACGTGTCCACATAACTGCTAAGAATACGAGAATTGGGAGTAAAGATCGGCAAAGCCAAGCATGAGAAGCACACCGGACGCAAACGTTGTCTTGTCAACTAGCATAGGACTGGCACTATTAACCGCCGCGCGACGGTGATGAATATAGTGAGAGGGGATTCTGAGCACCTATGTATTTTTCTGGAGGGCTGTGAAGATAATCCAACTCATAACTCAAAGTATCTTCACCAATAGCTTCACTGTCACAATGTATAATCACAGCTAGCTTCACACTGACAAAGTTATTGAAACCACTAGCTTCACTATCACATAGTATCTTTGTCACTAGCGTCACCATCGCAAAGTATCATTAACACAACCGTCGTTATCTCGAACAAGCATCACTGTTACCTTTACTTTAAAACAAAAAAGAGCATTACCACCACTACACTAACTTAACAAAGTGTCATCATACTAATATTACCATCATCAACCCCACTACTATAACCATCATCATCTCCACTACTATAACGATCATCATCTCCACTACTATAACGATCATCATCTCCACTACTATAACGATCATCATCTCCACTACTATAACCATCATCATCTCCACTACTATAACGATCATAATCTCCACTACTATAACCATCATCATCTCCACTACTATAAGGATCATCATCTCCACTACTATAACCATCATCATCTTCCCTACTATAAGCAACATCATCTCCACTACTTTAAACAACATCATCTCTACTACTATAAGCAACATCATCTCCACTGCTGTAAGCAACATCATCTCCACTACTATAAGCAACATCATCTTCACTACTATAAGCAACATCATCTCCACTACTATAAGCAACATCATCTCCCCTACCGTAAGCAACATCATCTACACTATTATAACCCTCATTATCTCCTAATTTAACCACTATTAACACTACTGCAAAAACCATCATCATCACTACTGCAATAATCATCTTTATCTCTACTACAATGGCCATCTTCATCACTACTGCTATAAAACATTATTATCACTGCTGCAAAAACCATCTTCATCAAAATTATATTACCCATCATCATCACAACTGTTATAATGATGGGCACCATTACTACAATAACCATCTTCATCACTACTGCCATAACTATCTTCATCAAGCAAAATGTTGCCCAGACCGTCTGGGAGCGTGTGAACAATGGGGAACCATGAACAGATCGCCACTGGGAGAATGGGGAAGTTGGCAGTGTCTGAAGGATCAGACTGCCAGCCAACACTTAGGGTGAAGCTGGATGGATACAACAAGCAGACTGTTCTTGGTATCATCAGAAACGGAGCTCTGTGCCTGCTGCTGAAATTGAGGACGGGCGTGTATGAGAATGTTTCAAATGCAACGCTATTATTTCTTATCTTACCTCGGCGAAACATTACAGTGATAGTATTTCCTTGACACGTCTGAGTGATATTATAGGTGCTAGCGTGGAGCATGTTTAAAAATTTCATGTGTGTGTGTATATATATATATATATAAAACTGTATATACATATACATATATTTAAATATATCACATATATATGTATATAAATGCACACATATATACATGGTTTTTGTAGTGTATATATATATATATATATATATATATATATATATATATATATATATAAATATATATATATATATATATATATATATATATATATATATATATATATATATATATATATATATATATATTTTTTTTTTTTTTTTATTTTAAAAACCTAGATGACCCTATTTCGTGCCAGAAAGTATTTGGCGTACCAAGATGCATCCATCATATACAAACGGTTTCCTGAGCCAATTTATAAGAATGGCATGCAGCATGGACTTCAACTACTAAGAACAGGTGATGATACGTCAACTGTTCACAGAACACTCTCACAGGTCGGTATTTATTTTACACTACGATCATCATCATGTAGCAGGTCCTTTGCAGATCGTGGCTCTGACCACAGTCTGCCTGAAAGAAACTTGGTCTCTCGCCAGCGCTCTCGGCTCGTGTACTTTCATTTTCAAGGAGTTACATATATTTCGTACCCAACTTTGTGTTGGTAGTCCCTGCCCCTCTTTTCTGATGCCATGTCTTCTGTTTTTTCCTCCAGTCCGTTATGGCGCTTTGTATGACCAAATTATTTCAGGTTCTGAGACAAGATACTTTTTATTTACCAACCTTTCTTGATGGCCAGATTTTTTTAAGTGTCAATATTTATTCTCTTCTTTGTCCACGATATTCTGAGAATCTTTGTATGGCATTTTAGCTCAAAAGCCCTGTTTTCTTTCTTAAGGACTGGGAGATAGTCCGTATGTTGTTATAGGGAAGATTCATGCTCTCAAAGTTTTAATTTTGATTTCATTGCTGGTGCTTAACCATGGACTTTAAATGCAGTTTAATCTTTGCATTGCTATGGCCATCCTCCTTTTGATTTATGTCAGACTCCAATGCTATTTATTATAGAACCTAAATATTCAAAGTTTGTGACATTTTCAAATTCTTCATCATTTATTGTGGTGTTTTTTTTATGGCGCAACATTTGGAGTTGTACCCAAAGTATTTCAGGATTCTTGCCGGTTCTACAGAGACTGTGCACTGTACTGTGCTTTGTTGGACTCAGACTTGAGTTAGAAGAAGAACAGAGCACTTATGTGTTACTATCCGCATGCCATGATGTTGATCCGTTGTTCAAAACCTTAAAAAAAAGACAATTCCACGCTTCAGGCCAAATGCCACTGTTTCAGATCTTCGTGCGTTGTCCTCTCCAGCTGCCTGAATTAGTTTTGCTGGTATTTCATCGCAACCTGGTGACTTTCCTTTCTTCAGACTATACATTGCTCATAGTCTCCCATCCAGTAAATGCTCTGCTTCTTGTTCGTCACTTTCATAAGTTGTTTCTGAATTAGTTTTCAGATCCTCATACATTTACCTTTAGTATTCTTTCCATCTTTCTTATATATCTTTGGTTTCTTTTAATGTGTTACCGTTTTTATCATTTATTACATGAAATGATGGCCTGAATTCGCCTTTTAACGTTTTAATTTCTTTAAACATGTCTCTGACTCTTTCTTGTATTCTGAGTTGTTTTATTCAATTACAGGTATTCATAATTAACTGGTATTTTTTTTAATCACCTCCGAAAGCTCTTCTGATTTCTCTCGTGTAGTTCCTATATGCATGGCTATTTCTTTCTGACCCTGCTTGTTTTAAATTTCTTTTTTCTTCTATCAGCTTGAATTTTTTCCCCTGCATTGTTACTCTGTTTTTGTGTGACATTTTTGTCCTGTTTTGAGCTGTTGAAAAGATGATGTTTCTTGCGTCACCGACTAACTCATCACTGCCATAAATGCCTCAAATTTGTTTTTAACCTCCATGCAGTCAGCTCCTGGGAATGTCTTTGCAGATCTTATACGTGTCTTCCATTTTTGTTGTATTAGAATATAATCAATTTGGTTCCTGCCTTTTTTAACCTGCGAAGTCCAGGCGTAGAGCTTTTTGGGTGTTGTTCAAATTGTGTGTTGGTAATAGACATATTTTTTCTACACTGAATTCGATAAGTCTCTCACCTCTCTCGTTTTTTTTGTCTCCTATGCCGAATGGGCTGCTACTTCCTCTTCCTCTGTACTACCCCGCCAGTTACGGAAGCCAAAAAAGATCATTACGGTCTGAGGAGAATGGCGCTGCGAGAAGTTTTCAGGTGATCTGGCCGACGCCCAACACTCAAGGGAAAGGCGAGACGGATATACAATCAGTTACTAATGCTATCGGAACTGGAACTCTTCGTTTACTGCTGAAAATGGGGACAGAGCGCATTGGTGATGCTCTTGCTAACTGCAAATGGCATCCCAAAGATGTCCATTTATCCCATTGGATACTCGATCCCCATAGCTACGATTTTGATCGAATATTCCCCCCCCCCCCAACCACCACCCCACCCCATAGACGGTAATGATTCATGGTACACTATCGGCGGTATCACGGACCAGATCAGTACTCTTGTCCTACGTCACTTATGTGACCCAGCCATCAATATCCCACGTTATTTATGTGATTTAGCCATCAATGTCCCACGTCATTTATGTGATCTAGCCATCAATGTCCCATGTCATTTATGTGATCTAGCCATCAATGTCCCACGTCATTTATGTGATCTAGCTATCAATATCCCACGTCATTTACGTGATCTAGCCATCAATGTTCCACGTCATTTATGTGATCTAGCCATCAATGTCCCACGTCATTTATGTGATCTAGCCATCAATGTCTCACGTAATTTATGTGATCCAGCCATCAATGTCCCACGTCATTTATGTGATTTAGCCATCAATGTCCCACGTAATTTATGTGATCTAGCCATCAATATCCCACGTCATTTTCGTGATCTAGCCATCAATGTCCCACGTCATTTATGTGATCTAGCCATCAATGTCTCACGTCATTCATGTGATCTAGCCATCAATGTCTCACGTAATTTATGTGATCTAGCCACCAATGTCCCATGTCATTTATGTGATCTAGCCATCAATGTACTTATCACCTTGCTCTCCTTTCTCTTTCCAACAATCGTCCCATCCCTTAAGATGGTATTAAAAAAGTTAGTTGCGTATCCTTTGCAGGACTTTGCAGAACTAACTCCAGCATATTTTTTTCTCAGCTATTGTGGTTTCCCTAGGCAAATTTTACTTCATTGGTTTGGCATTGCCTTCTGAACAGTCAGATCTCGGTACCACTGTCAAAACTAACGAAAGACGTTCTGCTGTCAAATCTCTGCCGCCTCCCTCCCCCCACCCCAACCCCGTCACTGCACCATTCTGGTCACATCTTTGTGATCTGTTAGTGCCTTCGCACTGTTCACTAGCTCCTAAAGGGCCTTAATCACATATAGTTTGTCCAGCTTCAGTTAACCACCCAGTGGTGCAGAACCAGCTACTCCATCTGGCTGTTCGAACGTGTGGGTTCCGGGGCCCTATTGTAGGGGAAAACAAGAATAGACTCACTGCCTCCCCAAAAGCATGTCGTAAGAGTCGACTAATTAGAGAGGCAAGGAACCAACAGTCTGTATTCAAGAGAATGAGATCTGTAAAACTAATGCACACGCAACACTCACGTTCTGGAGCAGGACTGCAATTCAGTAGTGGATGAGCAACCAGAACTTTCCGCAAGAGTGTACAGCTGGTGAACGCGAAGAAGAAGAAGACTAGGAGTGAAGAACTGAAGGACGAGGTACAGGTGTTGTTCCGAAGTGACAAATGGGCACACGCGACTCTGTATATTAGGGTAAGAAATAAGAAACGAAAATTATTGTGTGGAGACACATAGAAGAATAAAGTAATATAGATAATTAAAGGAGTCGAGAAACGAATTTAATTTGAGCAGAGACATAGAAGAATGTAGTATGCTATAGTATCGAAAGACTTAAGAAACGAATGTTATTGTGTGGAGACACACAGAAGCATGAAGTAGTTAAGACAATCTAAGGAGTTGAGAAACGAATGTTATTGTAAGCAGAGACATAGAAGAATGAGGTATGATATAATATCGAAAGAGTTAGGAGACACATGTTTTTTTTAGGAGACACATAGAAGCATGAAGTATGATATGTATACGTGTATATATATATATATATATATATATATATTATATATATATATATATATATATATATATATATATATATATATATATTAGAACATAAAAACACATGTCATTGTGGGGAGATACAGAGGAGCATGAAATATGATACATCATCGAAAGAGTTATGAAACATATGTTGTAGTGAGGAGATACAGTGAAGTATGAAATATAATAAAGTATCCTAAGAGTTAAGGAACAAATGTGTCATGACGCATAGAGACATGAAGTAAGATATAGTATTGCAAGCACTAAGAAAATGAATGTTATTGTGTTGAAACACAAAGAAGCGTTATGCGGTATTTTGTATCCAGTGTATTAGTAAACGAAGATTACTATGAGGAAACATACAGAAGCATGAAGTATGATATAGGATTCAAAAAGTTCAGAAATGAATCTTTTCTTCTTTTCATTCTACCGAATGACCCAATCGCGCTGTACCTGTTTACAGCAAAGCAGCGACAATTGCCCTTTTTGGCTGACACATTCGACTTAATCTAGAGTTTGTTAACAGGGTAAATATCCAGGATAGTTTCGTGGAACACGACCTAGTGTTATTTGTGTGGTGTTTTATTTGTCCGGTTGTCAACAGGTGTCACCGCTGGAGAGTTGTCTAGATCCACGGTTTGTAGAATGATCGACCGTCAAGTTTCAGTTCCAGTTCCCTAAACAAAAGGAGCCCTCGTGGGTTTATTTCACGGACTGCCTCGTTTAATTCCTAGGGGCAGTTTTTACGGTGATCGCCACAGGAGCTGTGGAGTTTGTGCTTTGTGGGTCTTTCTCTGCAGGTGACCAGTCTTTCTACCGAGAGAGAGAGAGAGAGAGAGAGAGAGAGAGAGAGAGAGAGAGAGAGAGAGAGAGAGAGATCGAACAAAACTTGTGAAATAGAGCCCAGTGCAATATTGTCAGTCCACCGGATTAAAGTCGATTTTTTTCCCTGGCGAATAATGAAGATAGAAACATGAAACGTTACAATTTTCAAACGTGAACACCTTAAT